ATGGGTTCGTGGAAAGTCTGTGCTTTTGGATTTTCCCAATCACAAAATTACACCGAATTTTGTAAGACTTTAATATAATGATGAGAATATTTATTTATACCAAATGGCAGGCGGTTTGATAGATATCATTAGTCCTTAGAGCAAGGAACATCAATGGGAAAAAGTCGAGAGGGGTGGGGAACAGAAGAGTGGTTTACAGTTGTAAAAGAGACAGACACAAAGGTAAAGAAAAAGGTAAAGTGAGTACTGTGGAAGGGGTCGAATATGACAAGCAGTCGGGCCATGGTTGCTTGAAGTCAGAAATCAAATGCCGATTAATAGACTTTTTTGCCGTATGAGTATACGTTGCCAGGGGTGCACCACGTGGAGGTAAGTCTATCGCACTCCCCATGATGAGCATATGACAGAGGGAAAGTGGTGTATAAGTTGCCATTAACTATTTCATCTGGATCACCAGTTAACTTCTGAATTAAATGTCACGAAATTTTGCGTTTTGAGCAATCTTCCATTACACTAATTCGTCCTTAACTTGAATGCTTTGTTTATTTATTTTAAATTTAGAGAACTTTAACAGAGTTTTAGCTTTATCATTACCTTAAAGCTAGATTTCCTCCAAAATACGTATTGAAAGCTAGGGATCAATTGTATTTGCCAGTTCTTCATGTTAAGACAAAAAGACCTAAAACTGAGCTATTCCTTCAATGCAGTGCAAATAAGACTTAACTAAATCTCAGCAATTTCTTTGACAAAATTCCCAAAATAAGCTAAACCACCTCAACAATATCGAGGTAAGGTAGGGGTGTGCGATAGACTTACCTCCACGTGGTGCACCCTGGACAACGTATACTCATACGGCAAAAAAAGTCTATTAATCGGCAGATGACTTCTGACTTCAAACTACCATGACCCCCCCCCCCTTGTTGTCATATTCGACCCCTTCCACAGTACTCACTTTACCTTTTTCTCTACCTTTGAGTCTGTCTGCCTCTTTTACATCTGTGAATCGCTCTTCTGTTACCCACCCCTCGACTTTCTGCTACTTTGATGAACCTTCCCACTGTGAAGCCCGAAGTCATCTAAATGGCTAATGATATCTATCAAAACGCCTGCCATTTGAAATACATAAATAAATCGTGTAATAAAGAGCTTTTTTATAGCTGTTGAAAAAAGCTTTCCTCCCGTCAATTATGATATCCACCAGCTTTAACATAATGTGTACTTTGAAAGTACTTTTCCTCCACATGAGAAGTTCATTCCAACAGTTGATTAACAATATGATATGCCATCATTTGTTTGTTTGTTTTTTATCTCCTTAAGTACAAAATTTTAAAAGATTTCTACCCTTTGTTTGCCGGAGGGGGGTGGGGGGGGGGTGGGGAAGGCTGGCACAAAAAAATGATCAGAAACACGATCAGGAATCAAATGATCCAACTGCCAAATCATTTGTAATGAAATCTAATCTCCGAGTCCAAATTATTATGCTCAGAGCTAATGATAAATATCATAAAGCCTACCATTTGAAATAAATAAATGCTCTGTATCTTTATTTTTAAGCTAGTCAGTTGGTTAATCATGTTTGTATCCTGTAGACATGAGAATTCACTCTAAAGGCAGAAATTACGTCTTGAGATATGTACCTCAAAATGTGCAATTTAAGTGTGGCGAATTTAGTAAAAGTTGATAATCTTATAAACACTCTATTCGAAAAACTTAAAGCCCTTGTGATGCCTTGATATGTAGTTTGGAATCGCCGTTCTCTGCTTTGTTTAACTTCGTCCCACTGTTTTGTTCCTTCCAATGTTGAAATTTTGAAAACATGTGACATGCAGGAGGGTTATAAAAACAGGTTTCAGGGTTTCGTCAAATTTCTACCCTGTTGATCAATTAACTTTATGTTTCTCCCCAAATTGCTAACTTTAGCATCTAGGTAAACTTTGACTTTTCAAAGTCTAAATCAAATCAAGTAAGCTTTAAATTGGCACTCCAACTCTTCTTGAGTTAAGTTAATTTTATTGTAAAATCGAGATATTCTTACAATTTTACAAAATTAAATCAAGTACTGCTTAATTCGATCATTTCACATTTGAAATCGGATTTTAAGTTTCGGAATTAACTTCAGTAGGAAATCGAACCTCATAGAGATTTGGGGTTTATTTCACAAGCCGTATTCTCACGAGAGAAGCTTAGAAACATGCTTATTCATCTTAGCGATCGTAATTTAATTAAGCAGCAATTTCGCGAAGATCAGTGAACTGGAGGGGGTGGGGGACAATCTGTGGGATTTAAAGGGCAAGCGAACTTTACATGAAAAAGAATATACGTCATGAAAATCGATAAATAAATCAACTTATTCTAATAATCGAAGTGAATGTAATGTCACCCATAAGAAGATTATTTCATTGTTAATTATTTTATCGTGGTCTCGTGCGCTATTTAAGCATTTGAAATTTAATTGTATTTTTTTCAAATTGTTCTTAAAACAGGAGTGTTTAATTGTGGGAGTTCACTACATTTCCTTTAAAATCTATGAACTGCATTTTTTAAATCTATTGTGCACCTAGCCACAAAAATGGAGGACTGATTTTAGTAAGCAGAATTAAAAATCTTTCAGAGAATACTCCAAAGGGGGGTGTGCGATAGACTTACCTCCACGTGGTGCACCCTGGACAACGTATACTCATACGGCAAGAGTCTATAAACCGGCAGTTGACTTCTGACTTCAAACTACCACGACCCCCCTGGTTGTCATATTCGACCCCTTCCACAGTACTCACTTTACCTTTTTCTCTACCTTTGTGTCTGTCTGCCTCTTTTACATCTGTGAATCGCTCTTCTCTTTCCCACCCCTCGACTTTCTGCTACTTTGATGAACCTTCCCTCTGTGAAGCCCGAAGTCAGCTAAAGGGCTAATGATAATTATCGAAACGCCTGTCATTTGATATAAATAAATAAATACTCCAAAGGAGTATTATCAACGACAATACGAAAGCAAGTTGCCATATTTTAGCTGTGAGAAGTACCGGAATCGTTTAACAGAAAGTTCGGTAAATACGGTTCTGCTTCGTTTGATACTTGAGCTGTGGTTGAAAAATCTTTACAAAATGGGCAGATTACCTTCCAGAATACCAATTTTATGCTTCCTTCCCCTCTGAGTTGCGTCAAGTTCTTACCCGGCATGTCCAATATTTATCGACCTGATTTCTAGTGAAGAATTGATCTTGTTGCGCAGATTCCTCTTTTGCCTCTAATGGCAAAGAATGCAACATGTTCTTACGCTGTATTCAGCAGCTTGCATGCTAATGATATCAAAGATGCGCCAAAAAAACATATGAATGCGTACCAAGTGCTTTTATTGCAATTTTAAATGGTAAATTTTAATCTTAGGAAGGCATCATAGGACGAGGGATAATCGATAGCCCACTAAGGAAGTGGAGAAAAATATAGGGCACCCAGCAACTCGTGTTTACTTCTCAAGTTGGCAATTATCTTGCGCTGCATTTTTCTTAAATGTTCCCAAAGTCAAATCTTAGGATTCCCCCCCCCCCCCAGTTTAGGATGTTTATGATCAAGACGCCAAATGCCTGTCACTGCAAATCAAGGCTTTCGCAAGGGAAAAGCAGCAACGCGAAAATAGCGTGTAAATCAGATTTTACGAGACCGATGCTCATTGGTTCACATGCAGTGACATGATGGCCAATCATAGAGAAAATGACCAGCAAAAAAGGAATAACCCACATGAACGTTTGTTTGTATTTCTTTTGTGCCTCAATGGAAGATAAATTACTATACACTCCCGCTATATCAAAGATCCCGGGTTCGAATCTCAACGGCCCACACCCGGTGAGCGGAACGGCTTAAGGCAGGCTAACATAGTGAGATAATTAGAGTACCTTACCAGGTTAAGCAAGACCTATAAGTGGGAACGAGTAACGCTTCCACAGTAATTATATTATTTAGGTGTATATCGTCACTACATGTCAGAAGCACAAACACTGACAGGTGTTGAGCACTTACAAACAGGCATCAAAGCTACGGCTTTCCACCAAAAGGTCAGTTAGGAAAGTTCGAGGCTTAATAGCCGTTCTAATTTAATTACGAGCAGGAAAGCAAGTTTGGCAAGCCAACTCCAATTATTAGCCAGATTGACATGATTACGTTACTAATGGTCTAGTAAGGACGCGTATACATTGAGCCATACGAACCTTTAGAACGTCTACTGTTCCCAATAAGAAACAAATTAGGTGCGATATGAATCTATGAAGCACAAGGAATGCCAGATAAATCACCACCAGAGAGCTGAGTTAAACACGCAGCAAATGGCTTAAAATAAACAATATATAGCAATACCCGCAAAAATACATTACAAGATACAGAAAGAAAGGAAACAGGGGGCCCAGAAAAATAGTTTTAATTGCAGGTATTGTGAAATATGAGGGAAGAGAAATACTGCTTAGTGCACACCCGGAGACAGAACAAAGAAGAGTGAGTCAGTTTTAGAATAACGCGAGGAAATGTGAAGGGAATTAGAATGGGGTGGGAACTCAGAAGGGGAATGGGTCATCATTGTCACACGAGCTCAGTGGCATTTGCAGTAGCTGGCAGGTGCACAGAGACGAAGAGAGAAGTTGCATTTTATGTACACAGTTGCCAGAGATAGTGAATCCAACTTTTATACGACGCGGCAAAAACAAGAGGAATAAGCCGACTGACATTTTATAAAACAGTACACGGAGTCGAGAGGGGAATGATGCGGCGAATGCATGTGCATGCGTTTCGTTATTCAGAAACAGAAAGGAAAGACTCAAAGACGGATAAATGTTGTGGTGAGGATGAGAGAAAGCAACGAAACGCTTTATCGATTTTCTTTTTCAGACACACACACAAATACATCATTTAATGAGGAAATGAGAAGAGGTATTATATCTGAGTAAGGATATTGAAGGCAACGAATTTCTGGCATTACTAAATGAGAAAAGGAGTTAAAACGCCTAACGAGGGAGTTAGGCGGTTGTAGAGGTTGTAACAACACTATCGCTCCTGTGATTACCATTGCTCATCGATATGTTATTTAATTGACCCCCATCATCGGAAGTATGCCCGTTGCACGTTTCACCATTCTTCACCTCACCTTCTTTGCTGCTACCACATCCCTCCTCTTTCTCTTCACCATTCTCGGTTTTTGATTCAGATGTTGCTGCAGCCGCTTTTTGCATCTGCTGGCGCTTCCTACCAGCCATCAAGCCATCCCAAACAGTCTTGGGTCCAAGAGCTTGCATAACATGGGCAAGAATGCTCTTCTGATTCGGTGAAAGACTAGCGGCTATTTGTAGGGCTTCGGGATCATCTGTAGGTGCAACAAAGTCACAGGCAGCAGCGCTGTAGTCGCCATGATGCTGATGCCGATAGTTCATGCGATAGGGTTCAGCATCAGAAGCCGAGGAGCCAGATGAAGAACTGCCTGAACCCTGACAAGAGAATGCTTCGCCACTACTTGCATTTGCTCCAGCTTCGTCGTAATATGACACTTTGTTGCCGGGCAAGTAGCCAACTCCACTACCACTGCTCGGGCTGGGATGTGCGTAGTACTGGTTATAAGGGTAGTAATTGGGATTATCATTCCCGTAGCTTCCAGGAATGCTCTAAAATCAAGAATACGCAGAATGGGGTCAGTAAATGAGTAACAAATTATTGCCTACTACATGGCCTAACTACGAAACCTATGATCCTCTACTCAATAAAGATTAAAACACACGGTAAATACATGCTAGTTTTCACAAACAATTACACTAACCTTAGATTATAGCACCTCAAAGTTTTTCATTAAAATGCTCATGATCTTTTTACTGAATGATAACTGCCCCCTGCATTTCCTCAGCAAAATTTGATGACAAATATATTTGAAGGGAAAAAAGACGCTACAGCAAAAAATCAGAAAAAAACGCAGACTCGACAATTTACAGAGCTGATTTGGGATGAAATTAAGCAAGAGAAAAGACTGACCATGCATCTTTAAAATTATCATGGACTCCGTCCCCAAATGCTCTAAATATTTAAGATAACGATAAGACAAATGATAAAAAGCCAAGGTTCTATCTTGCATTAACGCCTATTAATAAATGCATGAGCCCTTCTACAGTGAGATTAAGGTTAATAAAGGCGTGTAGCTTGTAGTAAAATAACGGCAGAATTGTGATGGTGAACTATGCAAAATAACTATCTCTTAAAAAAACATTCGTTTAACTGGATTACAAAACCAAGTGGGCAAGTGTTTTACAGCATTTATTTAAAGTAAGAAGGTTAGTATTATGAAGCCTCTATGACAAGAAAATCGAAGTCTACTGCTTCATGGGCTAAACTAGCCAGTATAGGCATTCCGTTCACTGGGGATGCGGCAACTCATGACCTTTGACTTTAGAGACAAGCACGTTAGTCTCGCCGACAATAAAGACAAAAAACTTTAGCTACCCTTAGAGAATGGGCATAATCAACAGAGGCACCAGTATGAGCCCCTTGTCTCCCCTCTTCTTCAGGCATAAGTGAGAAAGATGACTGAGAGAGATGACTGCCCACCTGATGTGTTCGATAGTCCATTACGTCATCCATACCAACGTCGACAACGGCACAGGATGAAGTATGAGGTACGTAGTGTTGCTCTTCGGGATCAAGGTCAGGGTCAGCGGTGGCAGCACCGGGAGGTAATCGTCGGAGTAGAAGAGCGGTATCTGTGGGGGGCATTTGATGGTAGGAGTGACGGAAATACTGACCCTCGAGGAAATCTGCCGACGCACCGGTAATCCAGGGATGTTGGAGACATTCCCACGCTGTGGCGCGCTGATTGGGATCATAGGCCAGCATAGGCTCCAGGAAGGAGGTAAAGAGTTTGGCTTCCTCTAACGGCCAATCATACTTTTGTACCAAAACACTAAGCAAATCCCACGGCTTCAATACGCGAATATGTCGCAGACAAGCTGGAAAAGAGAAAGGATTCAATTCCGAATTCCAGCTTACACTTCTATAGAAGCATATGTTAAGTGTTCGGCTTACCACGTTTGTCGAAAAACTCGCGAGAATACTTGCCCATGGAGACAATATTTCGTGGGATGGGACCGAGAAGTTCAATGATATGTGCAAGATGGTCCTCATCACGGGAATATTCATCACCAGTGTGCGGATCAAACAGATAATCACCAGTAGCCAGCTCGAAAGCCGTGCAAGCGGTACTCCAGATATCCGCAGGAGTGTTATATCCAGCTCCAATCAGCACTTCAAGTGACCGATATTGACGAGTTTGAATATCATCAGTGAACTTCTTGTACGTCCAGCAGGCATTACCAAGATCGGCAATTTTTACATCAATAGGGCATACCTCCTTGCTGGCATCTGGTTCCTTGAAAATGGGTTCAAGTAGAAGAGATCGACGCTTATCAGCCCCTATTCCTCCATTTGTAGTAACTGGACGAACAAACATGCTTGCTCGTTTAGCCAAAGTAGCCTCACTAGGACCCGCACTAAGACCGGATCGAAGTTTGGGTCGGATAGTGACCTCAGCAGCCGCTACTTTGCTACTATCGTCAGGAGAACTCTCTTTCTCAGATGTCTAGATTAATCAAACAGGTAAATTGAGATATAATAAAATAACCATGCATAAACCATCTAGTTTTATTTCAATACTTACTGTTTCTGTTGCTTGGGGGTTCGAAGTTCCTAATGAGTCATGATTAGAATCTAAAAGATGGGTATTGAAATTATACTAAACAGAATGGCGGTAAGGGTTATTAGAGTTGTGCAATAAAATGGGTAACACAATTTTACGACCTAGCAATAAAGATGGGGGAGGGAATAATAAAAGGGGGTTGAGCACCAATTTACAACAGTGCTGCACATCTATTGAAGCGTGGAGGGGAGGAGAGAAAGGAAGTGAGAGACGGCAAACCAAACCCAAAAACTCGAAAGCTTATTGATTAAAGGAGAGAAGTGACACATTATGTGATTACAAGAAGCCACAGGGCAAGTAATGCGCATACACTGGCACTGCGTATGCACCCACCCAACTAACATGTTTAGCTTTAATTGTAGTAGGTAGCTAGCACATTGTTCTTGTAGTGACCGACTGCTTTTCCTATGATTAAGTGCGGCTATACGGCATTTAAACCAAATGCAATAATCCCACCGCCTGTAGCAGCTTTCTTCACCCTTGACAGTAATCATCTAACAGCACAGACAGAACAGTTATATAGCGGTCTACGTACTGTCATCTAAACGTCCGAAGGGCAAAGAGAATCTTCTGCTAATAGAGCGTGCGAGAGGAAGTATAGTGCGTCGAATAATGGACCGAGAGTCAAACCCAACTTCTTCCTTACTAACACCACCGCCATTTTGATAACCCAGAACGATGACTTTATCCCCATCATGAGGAGATGTAGAGGAAGAGGAGGAAGGACTATCGAATTCATTTGAGGCTATGAAACTGGCAGCTCTTTTGAGCGCAGAGACAGCAGCTGTCACGAATACACCGACTAACAGCATAGAAAAGAGGGGTTAAAGTTGCACACACCTCTAGTAATCGACAGAGACGAGATGCATATATCAAAGGGGTTATGTAAGAGAAACTAGATGCATCGAAAGGTCGAAATCAAACCTGGGGGAAGAACATGGGTAGACGTGGATTCGATGTTCTTGTCAGGTTGATGTTGTTCACAAGAAGTAGCAGTCTCAATAATATCGCCTTCCGGAAGCATCCCCATTTCACGGAGACGTTGTTCCTGCTCACGACATTCAATCTCTTCTAACTCATCCAATTCTTGCTCAAGCAACAACTGTTGCTTCTTTTGCTGTTTCTTTAGTCGCCTCTTCTGACCTTTACTCAGCTTTGATGGTTGATTAAACTCTTTGGGAGCTGTGCTCACTGAAAAACAAACATAAAAAATCAGAAAATCATGGAAGGAAGAGTAAGTGAACACCTAGAAAAAAACAAACCTGCGGAAACGGACATTCTAGCTCCACGTCTTTGAGCATCGATGGACTCTGCAGCAAGACGACGCACTGCGGAGTCTGAAATACCCACAAGAATATTTTCAGGCTTTATATCTGTGTGAATAATTTGACACTTTTCATGAAGGTAATGTAGGCCCTCTAGAGTCTAAAATGTAGTATAAAATAAATAAGAATACGAACATAAAATAGAGGAAATAATCAATCACTGTTCACGTGCCTGTTTGATAATAGTTCGAACGTTTTCTCTAGGTATACCACGGTAGTTTGAACGAATGATGAGTTTAAGCAAATTGTGTCCCATGACCTCGAAAACCATACAAACATCTAAAGGGGAATATAGTTAAACTAGATAAGTGAACATACGAAGACCGTTAACTCCCGAAACGCGGAACTCATCCAACAACTGAACAGTCTTGTCTCGAAAAGGATGCTCGGGGTCAGAATCACGAACACAAGAGAGAAGTTTAATTTCATCAAGAGCAGTTTCCGTGTAATGGGCAGCAGATTTCACAACCTTCATGGCGACAAACCGCTTTGCTTTGATATCCCAGCAAAGCCAAACTGTGGAGAAATGACCCCAGCCCAATTTTCGGACGACATGGTAGCGCTGATTGTACATCTGTCCTATTTTGACGGGATGGTACCCGCCTTTAACATAATCCTGTGGGTCTTCTTGCTCATCATTATCACTACCCAAGACACCATCGTCTTCAGGATACTCTTCTATATCGTCATCGTCTTCATCTAGGATTCGGGCTTCTTCGAGATTTGGTGGTGGTGCAACGGCTTTATTTTGGGCCTGTTCGGTATCACCATTGCTATAAAATAATAATAGGAAAAAAGTGCACAGTAGAAATTGTTAAAAAAACTTGACAAACCAAAAACAGATTCATGAACATCTCGCAAGCAATATCAAAAAATGAACTACGATAGTAAAATATTAAATCGCTACAAACACTAAAGAGGGATATACGTACCAAGGTTTTTGGGCGTTCTTCTTTTTGTCCTTATTCTTTTTCTTATTTGGCATTTTAATCCGCTAAATAATTAAACAAAGAAAGTTAGCAGTAGGAAAAGCAACTATTCAAAATAACTGTAGTGCCTCAACAAGAGAAGAGTCAGGAGCCCATACCAATAAGAATTTAAGGAGCTATTAATACAAATCAGCCAAAGAGGTATAAAGAACAATTCAAACAAAGAAAGTAATCAATGCTATAAAAGACTTAAAAAGATGTAATTATATAAATAAATTTGTTGATGAAGAAATTTCATTTAGATTAATTGTAAAATTAGTTAATACTTTGCAAAAATATAAAGATTAAATTCCAATGAAAAATTTTTAAGGAGAAAATATTATGAACTTATAACATAAACTGATTTATTATATTAAATTTTGATAATTTTTTCTGAATCATTACCTTGAAATACAGCCGTGCCCAGGAATATTAAGTGGAAAACTATTTCAATTACGACATTTTAAAAGCATAGCTTTCAAATTGGATTAGTAAGATCATCGAAGAATAGTTATCATTCAATTTTTCTGTGGATATGAATTCAAATATGATGGGAAAATGGGTTACAAATGACAAAATATTTGATCAATAATGTAAGCATGTTTTCCTTGTAACGGTGAAAATTGTGCTATTTTAACTGAATGTATACTATTTGCGAGCGAATTTACTGAAGATAACTGGAAAAATGAAGACACTATGCATTCATAATATAAATTCAAATCAACTTTGAAAAAACTATTCCAATTTTTTATTCATATCAATTTCAGCAATCTAGTGATTAATTAATACCATTTTGCGTCTTCTGTAAGTAGTCATTTTAAGCCTTTTATATACAGGAAACGAGGTGTGTGGAATAGACTTACCTCCTCGTGGTGCACCCTGGGCAGCGTATAAGCATGCGGCAAAAAGTCTATAAACCAATAGTTGACTTCTCATTTCAAACTCCCAACACCCCCACTGTATGTCATATTCGACCCCTACCAGAGTACTCATCTTACCCTTTCTGAGCCCTGGTGTCTGTCTGTTTCTTTTACATCTGTGAACCACTCTTCTGTTCTCCCTCCCGAAATCTTCCCACTTTGATGATCCTCCTCCCCTATGTGAAGCCCGAAAACGCCTGCCATTTGTTAGTAAAAAAATAAATAAATATATGAAAGGAATGAAAACTTTTAGAACTGCGCTTTCTAATGTGAAATCCGGCCTTTGTCCAATCAAATTATTTTAAATCACTAAATATATTCGAAATAATGTATCGTAAATTGTTCCGTTGGAAGGAATATTCATATTATATAATATTTTGCTTTGATTAACGATTTGGCTTTTTACAACCTGGAATACCATACTTTCTTCTATTTCAGACATATCTGCAGTTATATAACCTGACGTATTAATATAGCACGATCTTTATTAATATTGAACACAATTTCATTTGTAGGATATTTATAACTCAAAAGACGCTTTATTTTAATAACTTAAATTATTCTAAAGCAAGTTTTACTACTTTTTATATATAATCCTTCTTCATGTTAGTTAAGGAAAATGGGAAATCCACTATATCATTTGTCAATGCAGAGAACCCTTTTGAAGGTTAATCTCTTGTTTCGTATTTCATAGTATTCATCCCAAAAGGATAAGCAAGTATTGCCTACTACATTTCATTTACCTTTGGCATCGGGTGGCAATGAATTTCTTCGCGCAGAATACTTTTACCGCTAAGCAGATTCCAACCATATATACATGCATAAATGATCAAAGTAGGAAATAAATGAGATCATTTATTGTCCATCGAATTAAAATCTTAATCACATATAATTCAGATTGCAAAATATAATGTCCCAAATTTAATATTATTAAACATTTATTATTTTCTTTCCTCCAAAATCTTGTGTAATATTCCTACACAGTTCGCAAACTTAAGTACTGGAAAATTGAAATCGGATTAATCTTTAGCGACTGAAATTCCCTTTTGATATGCTGTCAAATAAGTTCAACTTGATAGGCCAATGACTATTAAACATTTAGCATTTTTGTCCTATGCTTCTAGAGGGGAAGCGAACAATTTCGTTAGATGATAGCTTGCTCTGATCTACACATTAATGCTCCCTGGACCATCTGTCCAAATATCTTAATTTACTGGTTTCCCTTAATTATATTTTAACAAAATTTATTTGACGTGCTTTCTACCTAATTAGCTGCATTTACTCGGAAGAATATTTTAAAATTTTTCGGTCAAAGAAAGCATTTTACGTAATAATTCTGAGTTTTTGTGTCACAATGAGTTAAATAAATTAAAATTATTTTGCTAGCAAATATTGGTCATAAAATTAGTAGATAAATAGTCTGAAAGACATTGAGAAGTTTGAGTTGTCCGTTGACTTGGCAACAATGTGTTGTGCATCAGGTGTCGTTGGTATAATCTTCTTTCGCGAGGTATGCTTTTTTTCGGTTACGCAAAGAAACCCTCCGATTTCTGCTATCCAATTATAGTATTATTAAATTCTTTCGCGTTTTTTCCTGTTTCCATGTTTATCTTTTAATTAAATTTGATGTCACATTATCATTCAGTGCTTAGGTTTTTCCTCACAATTCACTTTGCGCTTTTGGATTAAGTAGATTTAATGGACAAGCCCCAAATTATTGGTCATCTACACAAATCTTTGAATTTCACATTATTTGATTGCAAATGGCTACCAGTAAGCACTAAATTCGTCGTTGTGGGTTCTAACCCTCGCGACACTGGACAGATTCAAATCTATGATGTAACGGCAAAGGAACTTAGACTCGTCCTTGAGGTATGTTAAATATTTTCTACAGACTTAATTATTTTAAACGTGATAACGTCAAATTTTCTCAGCGAAGGTGGGGGTTATTGAGCATCATTGATTAGAAACTTGACATCCTGCCAACCCTCTTTTATACTTGGTTGGTTATTTCTTTTACTAAATTCTCGCCTTTTTATTTTGACCCTGTTATCTCTATTTTCGCAGACATTTAGCCAGTTATCTCGAAGCGAATGTATTGTATTCAATTCGCAAATTTGATACTCGTACATCCCCCGTACGAATTAATCGGACTTAATAGTTAAATTTATCAATATCGGGGTAGAAGAAACCGTATTTTGCATCATCGTTTACTCAGTTTACTACTTCCTTTCTCAAGACTGATGTTAGGGTACACGTCAATATGTCGTTGCATTGCTTAATCAAAGTGACCACTTTTTTAATTTTTCTAGGCTGAGAAGTCCAAGTCGTACAAGTGCTGTACTTTCGGAGCATCTCGTCTTCCGAATGCTCATCTAGCTACTGGAGCATTTGATGGCCGTATGGCTATTTGGGATCTTGGGGACGGTGGCCGATTAGATGCTCCTCTTTACGCCGTTCAAGCCCATAGAGAAATAATCAATTCTATTGATGGTGTCGGTGGCCTTGGAGTTGGCGAAGGAGCTCCAGAAATCGCCACTGGTTCTCGTGATGGCTTTGTTAAAGTTTGGGATCCCAGACAAGCTAAAACTCCCGTAATTACTATGGGACCTAGTGATGAGCCAAACACCGATGGTTCAGCAGAAAACTCTCGTGATTGCTGGACCGTGGCTTTTGGTCATGCCTACAATGTTCATGACCGCTGCCTTGTAGCTGGTTATGACAATGGTGATATTAAGCTATTCGACCTTCGAACTATGCGGGTTCGTTGGGAAACTAATGTACGGAATGGGGTATGTTCTCTTGAATTTGACCGGAAGGACATTGATATGAATAAACTGGTGGCCACAACTCTGGAATCGAGTATTCACGTATTTGATATGCGAACTCAACATCCTCAACGTGGTTTCGCATCGCTGACAGAGAAAGCGCACGATTCTACAGTTTGGCAAGTTCGACATTTACCTCAACAGCGTGATATCTTCATGACGACTGGAGGAAATGGATCATTGTGTTTGTGGAAATACAACTATCCAGAGAAGCGCCAAAAAATGGTTAAAATGACGACATCTGGAGAAGGAGATGGAAAAGAAATAGAAGTTGCCGAAGGCGTGATGGGGAAACTCTCTCTTCTACAAAATATCACTCTTGCATCGCAACCAATTGCTAGCCTGGATTGGTGTAAAGAAAAAATGGGATTAGCCATTTGTGTAGGATTCGATCAAACTCTGAGACTTCTCATTGTCACCAAATTAAACCGAGTGTGATAACGTGCATACTTACTCCTTGTAAATATATACCTAAAGACATTCCTCTGTTAGTATGCATATACTTATCTCATTAGCATAAACAAGAGATTGAAAGTGTTCTATGGATTTATTAAAAGAAGTAATGTCTTAATGGAAGATTATAAAGTGAAGTCATAGTGCGAGTCACAGCAATGGAAGAAATTTTGATGCAAGTGGAGGTAGCAGAGATTGGGGAATGTTTAGGAGCGCTTAGGGCCAGCTTGAAGGTCCCGAAGTTGGCGTAAAATGTCTTCAATGCGTTTCCGACGCTCGCGTTCTGGACGCTTAGAGGAGCCGACAAGGAAGAAGGAAGATGTGTTGCTACGTCGCTTCTCTGCCTCACGAAGACATTCTAGTAGTGAAATTGCCGCGACTGGTGTTACACGATCATAGGGATTACCTATAGGAAAAAGAAGTTCAATCCAGCATGTTAATTGAACGCATCTAATATTAGGAGAATAGGGCTGTCGCTGGTGGCGTTGTGTCAAGCATGCATTCTTTTACTTGATCCACATCTTGTAATATGGACTACCAACTACACTGGTAAATTAAGATATAGTGTCTCATGAAAGACTCAATGTAGGGTTTGAGAATTAGCGAAGCATGCCGATTATGAGATCATTGGCAGCTTTCGCTCCGATATCAACTACGGAAAATTTAGCAGAAAAGAGATTTATGGGAGACAACCACTAAATAATTACTGATGACAAATTTAAAAAAAAAGCTTGCGAGCCTAAACCGATAGCATTGTGAACTCAAAATCAATTGCTGAAATATGGCAATGATCAAAATTGTCGAGCCCACAATAATTTTACCAGAGCTTTTTCCGTAGTTGGCAAAATAGACAGTCCAATCGTTATTGCGAACGAGTTCAAGAAGTTGACGTAATTCAGAGAAGATAAGTATGATGATAGACTTGTCAATCCCCGGGACCGGGTCAGATCGAGCGAACCTATCGCATTCCGCCAAGTCAACTAGCATTTGCGACATCGCCGGCTCTGAAACCATCTTGACCTGAAGCACACATGGAGGAAAAAATTTAGACACTGCATAGACATACTAACGATATTAAGTCTTAATGATTTCAGCTAAAATATTTTTGGGGTGCTGCTAAGAAAGCAGATATCCGATGTCCTGCATAATACTGAAAGTGCTGTTCTAAATAAAAAAGTATTAGTAGGGGTGTGCGATAGACTTACCTCCACGTGGTGCACCCTGGGCAACGTATTCTCATACGGCAAAAAAGTCTATTAACCGGCATTTGACTTCTCACTTCAAATTAACATCACCCACTATGTCATATTTGACTACTTCCACAGTACTCATCTCATCTCTTTTCAACCTTTGTGTCTGTCTCTTTTACATCTTTGAAACACACTACTCTTCCCTCCCCCCCCCCTTTCGACTTTTTCCCTTCGATGTTCCTCCTCCTCTCCGTGAAGCCTGAAGTCAACTAAGGGGCTAATGATAACTATCAAAACGCCTGCCATTTTATATAAATAAATAAATATTGACACTTGTCTTCGGATGAAGAAATTCCAAAGATGCACACACAGATCACAGCCGGTGGATATATGGAGAAATTGGCGCTTTTCAAGAACTATAAATAGTCATATTTTTACCTCTCAACCTCTTACACTAAATGTAATACTGAAGACTTTGCATACCGCTATTCAAGCCAATATTTTCTTAACTTGTTGATATTTCTCTTATACGGGTTAAATTTAAACATGGTTGTAATGCAATCAGCCTTAAATTAATCTATTCACGTTGATCAGGTAAGTAGAAGGTTGCTTCAACCCGTTGAAAAATGGGATAGAAATAGAAATAACTGCACACAATTTCAGTTTCTCATGGCATGACTAAACCCTCCCCCCCCCCCCCCCCACATGGTTCTTTGCTCTTATTGAGAAAACTTTTTTTGCTTGCACTTAAATTAACCAACAGGCCAACTAACTGGATCATTCATGCAAGTTAAAACAAAAAAAAAAACGAAAAAAACAGCCTTGCAAATACAGAAATTTTTCTAAATTGCAGTGAATAAGTCTTCATGCCAACCCTCCAAAGACAGGAAAATGTCTTTGCTGAAAACAGACAATTAAAGAATTGCAAATGAGTAAAAGTTCTATTCTTCCATCGAATCGGTAAAGCAAACGGATTTTCAGTTCATTTGGTAGAAGAGTAGAAGAAAGGATCAACACTCATAGCAAGAATAGTTAAATATGAATACTTCCACCCTCCCCCCCCCCTTTAGCTCCCAATTACAAAATGGGGGGGGGCATTAGTCATTTGAAGGCAATAAAAGTCAGGTGAATCGAAAGCATCTCATTAGAGTTCGCTCCAGAGATACCAACAACTGACAATGTTACATATGCAAAAAGTGCAATAAGAAAGTCAAAAAGTTGACTTGTCCCTAGGGGAAGAATAGCTCTCTAGCCAAATTAACGCCTGTCAATAACTACCAAGTCTGTAAATTGCGGTAGAACTGGAAGCAATATAGCATAGTAATCTTGCTACCCAGTACGGAAAAATTTGCATGTACGAGAGCCAATGAGATTGAAAGTGAATGCATCATTTCATCCCCTAAAGACTTCTTGGCCCACCTTTCTATTTTCTTCCATCACTACAGAATTTTATACCTCGATCTCAACACTGCTTTATACATAGAGGTCCTCTTACATTAATTCAACTAATATTTGAGGCAGCATAACTCAAATATGCGCTCCATTCAAATTCATACTCACATCACTTCCCATGAGAATCTTCTGCAACAGCTTGACGATACACTTGCAAGCCGAGATACACGCTGTATGCGCAACTTTCGGTGGGAGGTGAGTGAAAGCCGCGAAAGTGGAAGCGAGCCAAGACATCATGTCCGTCATGTACTCACTCGTCTTGGTTGGTTCCGGTGCGTCAATGAGTTGATCCAAACTCGATTCCCCCTCTCCTGGACCCCCAAAGATACCCTCGTAAGAGGCGAGGCTGCAAAATTCCTCAATTTTGGAGTTCAGATGGGTGTAAATTTGTGTCTCCGCACGTGCACGACAATCGCGAAAAAGGGAGACACCGTAGAGGTGAGAGCGAGAAGGTTGGACTTCGTCGGGTTGAGAGGCCATTAATGCCAGAACATCGACTTCCTAAAACCAACGAACAAAAAATAAGTAGTAGATTCGTTTAAAATGTGCCATTGTGAAACGTCACTTTACTCCTATTGTTAAACCACCTTATTTACGACTGACTTCTAATCTATTTAAAGCTTATGGAATAGACCACTTTGCCAAGCACCCTATGCTTTTAGCCTAACTAGTATAAGATGAAAAATTCAGAACAAAACTTCTTGAGGCTTCACTATTGAAATCAAAGTTGCAGAAACAAAAGAATGTGCAGTTTCAGCAAGTCTAATCAACTGTAAGACTAATCTACTGAAGTATAAAAAAGCGATCGACAAGGATTGGTCATAGCAACCAAGAATTTATTCAGCAATGCGGAGGAAAAATCAAGTTAGTTCAATTTAAGAGTGTGCTGCTGTAAACCACTAATTGAATAAAAATTTAACAATATAAAAGCAAAAATCCCAATATGTCTTCCGTCTTTACCTCTTCATCTCTCTCTCTCTACCCCCCCCCCACTTTTGGTTATCAGATTTCCAGGAAGAAAAATCTGAGGTTTTTCTAAAAACTTACAACTCTTCATTCCAACTTTTATTTATAACAAATGGCAGGCGTTTTGATAGTTATCATTAGCCCTTTAGTTGACTTTGGGCTTTGCAGAGGGGGGGGGGGGGGGGGGAGAATAGAAGAGTGATTCACAGATGTAAAAGAAGCAGACAGACACAAAGGCTAAGAAAGGGTAAGATGAGTACTGTGGTAGGGGTTGAATATGACATTCAGTGGGGGTGATGGTAATTTGAAGTGAAAAGTCAACTGCCGGTTTATAGACTTTTTGCCGTATGATTATACGTTACCCAGGGTGCACCACGAGGTAAGTCTATCCCACACCCCTCATTCCAACTTAAGACCTTGATATGCAAATTCAAAGATTCTACTAAATGGCAAAACGAACTCCCGGATACCCTATATATAACTTATAAAGTAAACTTTCATTATAAAAAAGAACCAAATTGAGTTTTCTGTCCTTTAATTATACACTTTTTTGGTAGAGAACTTACATTGTCATCAATTTGTTCATCAGCAATAGCAACTGACGTGGATGTAAAGAACTTGGGTCTTGCATGTTCATGGAGATAAGTCTGCAGTTGTTCACACGCTCCTTCCAGTTCCGTCAGATTAATTGTCAATTGAATGAGTCTCAATAGATTGTTCTCTGCAGCTTGAATAGTTGAGTTAAGTAAGCCACCGAGACAATCTGTGAAGAGGACATTGGTAGCCCTATTCAACGCATCTTCCAATTCCGTCCATGCAAGATCTGCTGTCGGGGCTGCAATATACTTGGCCGAGGCATCGATATAATCCTGAATAGCTAAGTAGATTGCCGGAACCATGGGAGAAAAGACAAGGGTACGAGGATAAGATTGAGAGGTGAATTCGGCCAACTGGCAGTAGGGATAGGAAGACAAATCGGGAGTCAAATCAGCTGGCGAATTGAGTTGAATCGCCGTATAGTTATCATTCTGAAAAATCTCCTCAAATCGGATCCTCCATTGATCAATAAGGAGGTGACTAAATTGCCTCCTCACGGCTTCAATCATTTCATTGAGACCTGCAGTGTGGAAGCCTAAATTGGCCATTGTGCGCTCAAATAGGACGCAATAATGCTTGAGACTAAGTAATTCCCCCGGTGTTCGACATGCAGCGGCATTGCGACCCACCAACTGCGTCAAACGGGGAACCAGGGATGCCCAGAGGTCAGAGAGGTAAGATTGGTAGTAGGAAGCCGCGGCGGCTGCACCAGAACCATTTGATGCAGCTCCAGGCATTGTATGGCGAAGATAGTCGTCCACAAGGAAGAAACCGACAACTCGACTGAAGAACTCACTGTAATTTCGAAGACTGGACTATAGAGGGGAGGATATGTTAACAAAGGAGCAGAAAAAACAACAGCAGCAAAAACAATAGTAGTCCGAAGGTGAAAACTGTGCGCATCAAATTGAAATCCATCAGATTATATGCAGGTAATGAATAGTGAAGTGTGGGTTGGAGAGCTTTTAGATTGGTAAAAATAATATCCTTGCCCAAAAGGAAACTGAGATGGGAGGTTAAGATCTCATTTAAAAGCTGGTGAAAACACACTCAAAAGTTAAGGGGAAAAAAGTAACAAGATAGTAACACAATTATGCAAAAAACTCAATGTTACACATAGCGAGGAATGATGAGCAAAATTCGATCTCAAATAGTGACTGGTACCATTAAGGGGATTATTATTATTATTACTTCAAAATAAGTGGAAACATTCAAATATCTATCATGAATGGTACTTACAGCACTCAAGTGAACAGCTACCAACCTCTCTGGTTTCTTATAAGAGTGGCTCTAAAATACTTTCCTCCTCACAAAGTTAAATACCGATAGCCTTGAGAACGTTATTGAAGCCTGGCTTAGAATTCTGAATAATGGCCAACATAATGGGCTAACATAATGGGCTAACATAAAAAACGTCCAATTTTTATATCAAGCATCTCACCACCACATAGCTCCCACCCTTAAGGAAGCACAGTAGTAGGCAAGAGAAAAAAACCATCCATTTACATTACAATAATTACCTGTAAAATTTTCAAAACAGTTTAACGCATTTTTCTAAATGTGAATCCGACATCAATAGTAAACTGTTTATAGACCTATTTGTGCTCTAATGGGGCAGGAATAAATGTCTTCACCTGGGAAGTCAGTCCTCAAGGCCTCGATATCTACCCACTGCACGTGAGGCGGAAAAAGGATTTCTTAATAGGCAAGCCGGTGAATGGCAACTCCTCAACCAATGACGAGTGAAGAAAAACGCTGGTAAATTATTACTGGATACATGCGAAACCTAGCGAATTCATAAGTCATTGTGAGTTAAGAGAAAGGCAGCAAAATTTCCAAAATATTAGAGCGAACAACACACAACTCCACTAGAAATCTAGCTTAAAAAGAAGCACGGCAAACCTAACGACTGACCTGTCGATTTTCGTCCTCCTGAATAGATTAAAGAATCAAATGAACCGGTTAGATCGTAATTCATCGCAAGTGAAGGATCTTGGAAGTAGCAAGAGAACCAAAATTAATCACTAACCTGTTGGGAGGGTGAAAGACTGAGGATGAGTTGGCATTGCTTGCGCCTTTGAGTAAAATAGTAGTGTTCGAATTCTGATCTTTCTCCAGAGACGCTGTGAATGTGCAGACATCGATAGATAGGACCGAAATCGATGAGATTTTCAATATTATTCTTTGAACCACCATGGCCGGTACTACCAGCACCACTGTCAGAATCTTCAAATGCACTGTGCTTTTTCGACGCCAAGGTAAGTTCTTCTAATTCAGCATCAAGTACATCTAAAATTAATGGGGGAAAAAGTTGGTTTAACTGACGGATGTAACATGTAATGAGGCGACAGGATACAACAAAAAAGAACAAAAAAAACAAACAACACATTTTAGTTCGTTAGTAATAAATTTTATTGCACGAAAAAGATTTCAGGTTAATGAATTCTAAATGCCACTAGTTGGGAAGTAAGGGATAAGACTCTGGTGCTTGCAATTTTTTTGGAAAATAGCAATTTCCCTGCCATCATCTACCTGCATTAACAGAGAAGACGTAATACCCATTTCTCCATTTGAAATTTAAAACTTGTTCAAAACTTGCAAAATTCCTCATGGTATCTAAGCGCCTTGAAGAGAGGCGTTTTTCAACATATTCATCTTGGAGAGTTGACAACGAAGCCTTTTTATGACCAATAAGCTTCCACTCTAGCAGAAACCAGTACGCTTTCAAATAAACCATGACTCGATAGATGCAGAAAGTGAACAGTTAGTCATCTTCAGACCCTCTTCCAGTAACAGTGGGTCATGTTTTAAAGATTATTCAATATTCAGTTTGAACACAACACTGGAACAGATACATTTACACGACTATTTTACTTTCATCATCCCAACCGCACCAGTGCATATTGTGTTGACGGAAAACCGAGTCTGACAAAAAAAGCAGAAACATCAAGACTGCATTAGATATGTCAAACCATGCAGAATAAAAGACCATTAGATCTTACTCATTCGATTAGACTGTAAGACGCTACTTTGTTTGCGAACTTTTGGTTGGGGCAGGGAAATTGGCAAAGCACTTTCAGCATCTCCCGAATCATCGCAATCAGAAGAAGTTCGCGGTCTGACGGGTTTAGCCGGCGGTTGCCTTGACGCTGACGATGTCTTGGGTCGTTGGGGAAGAGGGTGTGAAACTAGAGCTGACGCAGAGATGGCATTTTCACCGAAAATCTCCTTCATCCCGGTTTTTTCGGCAGCTTTCTCCATTGCGATTGCACCTAGACGTGTGGAGTGCTTACGAACCTCCTCCAGGAAATCGGTAAGCTGGGCAAGACTAGCCGTCTGGGAAGAAAAAGGAATGTCAGGCTCCCATATAACTTCAAAAGGAACAAAATACGGCCAAGAAATATCTAAACTTTCGAAAATTGAGTTCTAACATTCATTTACAATTATAGATTAATGCATGAGAACAAAATCTCAGTACAGGAATGTACTATATAGTGAGTTGACCTTTGCAACTTACACCTCCTTAAAACTTACTAAACCCCAGTTAGGTAGAAAATTGATTAAGCTATATTGCCTTTCCGCAACCAAAAAATTGAGACTGAGTCGACGGCAAACAGGTTATATGGCAACCATGCTGACTGTACGCTGAAATTATGATCAATCAGAAGAATGAAGTTAAAAACACAGAAGGTAAATAACAAAAGAAAGTCGATATATTCCTCGAAAAGGGGAGTTGGTACGACAATTGAGGCTACAGTCAAGAGTATGCAGAATAAACAGATCTAGACCAGAATTTGATTGAAATGGAATATTGACGATGGAAGTGATTTGGTCAGATGAACTACTACCACTACCATTATTATTACAACTGCGGCTACTCAGATTTAGGGAAGAAAAAAGGGAAACGACTTTTATTAGTAAACAGATATCACTTTATTAACATTTCTGATCCAAATTGAGCACTTTTATTAATACATAAAAATATACTGCTCTATAATCCAATGCGGTATATGCCAAACTACAAAATCTGTCAGCGAGTGAAGCATTTTTTCTAAATAATAATCTGGATACTGACAAATGTATACAAGCCGATATCATTCTATTAAAGGGTATTTCCAGCGCAGAGTTGAAATTTCCATGAAAGGAACTGGTTTCAGTTAGTAGAATAGGCAAAGCCCAATATAAATTAAATAATTTAACTAAATAACCAGAAATCACCAATTTCACCAAATGTAATGAAACAGCTTTTAAGAAAATCATTACCTTGATTTCAGCTCGTAATTCGGGAATACGTTTGGCCAGAGCCTTGGCGAAGGAGTAGGCTTGAATTGACTTAAGTTGATAATGCTCTAGGTACTCCAGAGATTTCAGTGCATGATAGTAACGACCCTCATTAATGCACCGTTCAATTTTCTCATATTGATCAATTACGGGGAGACAAGTTCGTAGCGCAGAGATACATTGATCGATACGATTAATAGTAGAGTGGGTTTCAGTAAGGGCTTCACAGGAATTGTTTAACTATAAAAGCGTAATCAAAATATGGCGTTTATTTTTAACATACCTGTTCAACACTTGACTCCACACTTGAGCGTATTTGACGAAGAGTTTGTTGAAGGTTTTCGGCCTTCTCCTGCATCATCATCAACTCTTGAACAGATTCAACAAAGCTTTCATAATTGTGACTGCACGTTTTCTCAATCTCTAACTCTCTGTCTGCAACTCGTTCATCTAGTCGAGCAATAAAGTTGGCAATCAGTTCACCAGTCGGTCCACCCTGTCCAGCTTCATAAGCAGCTACCTCATATTCACGAAGTTTCCGAATAACATTAGCACAAGAACCACTGCTACCTGCTTCTAATTCATCAAGAATGGCATTAAAGTCAATGGTGCCGAGAGTAGACTCTGTCATCATCTTTTCGTTTTATTGTTCAAGTTCCACAATTGATGACTCAATATGATTATTGCAATCTTCAAGCGCAGTAAGAAATTTTAAAAGGTCAACCGAGTTTAAGTTCAATGTGACTGTCTTTCGGCCCTAAAATGACAAAACGAAAATGAGAAGGAAATAAAAAATGCACCTTCGACTTGGCCAAATTAAACTGAACGGCTACACAAGTATACTTTTTAGATAAGACACTCAGCTTTCGTGATACTAGTTCCCAGTTAAATGATTCCAGACTATAGGCATGGGATGACATATAAGAAAAGAGTAAGATTACTAGAACCGGAAAAGCAGAATTTAATGATAATGGGAAAGATTGGCCAATGAGATTCAGGGTTTGAACTATTAAAATGATCTTATTCATACAAACCCAAATTGGACAACCATATGAATAAATCATTTTAATGCTCGTTTTATTAATCTTTATAATTTTTCTTAATGTTTGAATGCGTGAACATTTTATACTTATGATACATACGTAATTGTAACCAATAAAATAATATTTCGAGATGGGAATGCTTAATCGTTCATTTTACTTGCCTTGCGGCCAAATCTTTTATAAAGCAAATGAGATTTTTGCTTTAATAAAAATAATATTCTTGATAGTTGTGTTTCAAAAAAGTCATTTCATATTACCGGATGAAACTGGTACAAAATTTTAACTAATAAGAGTTTATTAGCGCTAAATCGTCGCGCGCTATCATGAGAAGATTATGGATACATAACTTTGTGGAATACTAAAGTCGAGGTTGAAAATGGCCTTTGTTGATTAAAGTGAACAATTAATTGGCGATTGAATCAAGGTGTGGTCATGCAAAGTACTACCCAAAGAGCTTTCAAATTATTTTAAAATTTAGAGAATAATGAAAATTGAAAAATTCCTTTTAAGAAGCCAATTTCAAAATTTGGTAAATCCACTAAGTGTATTTTATCTGTATTACCATTGAAAGAAAAGTAATTAATCGAAACGTCTAGATTTAATCTTATTGATTGACAATTGAACTATGGACACTGTATATTATGGAAAGTTTTTGTTTCAATTCAATTGACAAAAAATGGAATTTCGATATTGCTTCTGAGTTGTCCAACTACTAAAAACTTCATCACCTCAATACAACAATAAATAGAATTTAAACTCTTAGATATCTTGCTGCCAACTTAGTTGGCAATTTCGACACCCTCTCCATTATGATATACTAAGATTTTTGTTTGTCAAGGGATTTTTATTGTCGCCCACAACAACAACTTGTAAAATTTTCTGAATAATTTCAAGCACAAATGTTTATTGCTCAGTAATAAAGAAGATGGATAAAGCTATTATGAGATGTAAACACAAGAACGAATTTATATTTATGCATTAGTTATTCTTGATTAGAAATAAAATATAAAACTAAAATATCAATCTAACAGCATTTATAAAAGCTAATCTTTTTAAAACGAACCGGTAAAGAATTTTTAATATGTCATTTTTGTGATTCTTAATGTTAATATGAAGTTTGTTTAAATAGGGACATAGCCTAAACGCTCGGCCTCCTTTCTGCAGCGCACTTTTTGCTATATCAGCAGGATGATAATCAAAGAATTGTAATTTTTTACTTGCATTTATTTTATGTAATCAATTAATTTAATAATGTTATTATCGTTGATTCAGCCGCGTGATCCTTCCAATGAAGGTTGAGGAATACCAAGTTGCTCAATTATGGACCGTTATTGAGGCATCCAAAGATGAGACTGGCGGCGGTGATGGCGTCGAAATCCTTGTAAATGAACCTTTCGATAAAAGCAATAATCCTCCCGTCCAAGCTCTTCCTGGCGGTGACGCTCACACCAAGGGTCAATATACTCATAAAATTTATCACCTCTCCTCCAAAGTACCAAATTTTATTCGTGTGGTTGCTCCGGCTGGCTCTTTAAATGTAACTGAAGTGGCATGGAACGCCTATCCGTACTGTAGGACAGTCATTACTGTGAGTATTTTAGATCTCAAACTTTTTATAAAATTTTCCCCATGAATTTATTCTTCATTGATTACAGAACGGTTACATGAAGGATGACTTCTTCCTTAAAGTGGAGACTATGCACGTTAACGATAAGATCGACATTGAAAACGTATGTTTCTTTTGATTCTCTTCACAAGTTGCTTTTTGTAGGTTCATGAACTGCCTCCAGATATGCTTGCCAAACGAGAGGTTATTTACATTGATATTTCTGAGTATTGCGACGGCTGTGATCCTAAGTTTGACCCAAAAACATTCCAGTCTAAGAAAACTGGACGTGGTCCTCTTGTTGGTCCCAAGTGGTGGGAGGTAGGTATCTTGCTATTTTTCTAATCGTTGATTTCGTGTGTAGAAAACTGACATGCCCGTTATGTGCGCCTACAAACTTGTAACGTGCAATTTTAAATGGTTTGGTCTTCAAAATCTTGTTGAAGGTTTTATTATGAGAGTAAGTCTATCTTGTCTCAATTTTTTCTGTTTTAAATAGATGTTTCATCGCTAATCCGAATTTTTTCGCAGGCTGAGCACAGGCTCTTCCACAAATTCCATTGTCAACTTTTCTGCAATATTGACAGTTGGCACGATCTTTCCATGGATGATATTCGAAGACTGGAAGCTGAAACAAAGGAGGAACTTGATAAGGTACCTCTTCTCACCAGATTTCTTCTTCGTTTTCCTTTTAAATTCTTACTTTCATATTTACCTTTTTTAGCAACGAAAAGAAGGTCAACTAAAAGGCACAATTGAGTCGGCCTAGTTGACGAACTATTCATTTGGATATTATATTTTTGACGCCCTCGATATCCTTATCCTTAAACTCTTCCTTATTTCCATATGCTTCCTTTTATTCTTAATCTATTTATCAATAGTGTCTGTTGAGACTGATTAAGAAAGCGATATTTTTCTCTTCCGTTTCTGTGAAAGTATGTAGAAGTTTGTAAGTAGTTGTGAATAAATTGTCCTTGTGTCTGTGTGTTACCTCGTTTCCTCCAAGTTATTTTTTAGCTAAGCCGAATGCTTACTAATATTTCACGAATTTGTCATTCAACGTGACTGTTTTCGAAATTGTTTGCAATAAAGAATATACATATAGAGAGTAACAGTTGCCTCCGATCAGCAGTCATTATTATTGTGTGCCCGCATTTTCGTTGTACTTTTCATTTTTATGCCTCTCACATTTTCTTTGTAATCATGCTCAAGCTTTCGTATTTTGCTACTGTTTGGAGTGATGCTCCTACTAATCATGATAGCCTAATACCTATCACATTGCCAACCAGATTGTGTTCAGGGTTATAATGTTGTTAAGCACTTGAATGTATCTACTGAAATATATTTATTTCGAATGGCAAGCGTTTTGATAGTTATCATTAGCCTTTTAGTCGACTTCGGCTTCACAGAGAGAAGGAGGGACATCAAAGTGACAAAAGTCGAGAGGGGGGACAGAATAATGATTCAGTCGTTAAAGAGACAGGCAGACACGAAGGCAAAGAAAAGGTAAGATAAGTACTACGGAAGTGGCCGAATATGACATTCTATAGGGTCATAACGGTTTGAAGTCAGAAGTCAACTGCCGGTCAATAGACTTATTTGCTGTATGAGCATACGTTGCCCATGGTGCGCCACGTGGAGGTAAGTTAATCGCACCTACTGAATTAAGACATGCGAAAGCAAGTTCTGAGGGAATACTTGGCATAATTGTAGCTTGTCTCAACGGTAAGACAATACATCGACTGCAATATTTGCTCTTTACTCTTAAAAACTATTTCCTTCCAATGAACATGTTCAATACAAGTCTCAACTTCGTTTTGGGTCAAATTATTTTGGTATCTTGCTGGACAGTTCTGATTAATATAGGTAAATGACAGTCACAATCCACATCTACCATTTTTCTAATCAGATTAATGTTTCATCTATCCTAAGACGTTAACCTCTACTAGATCACAACCTTTGCGTCGAAGTTGGTATAATCAATAAGGTACAGCGTAATATATATAACATCTCTTAGTTTGCAAAGGAGGGGGGGGGGGGGAATAAGCCCGGAGGAAATTTGTCCTGTCAAACACCATCTGATAAAAAGTCCCATGGAAAGTGAATGGTAGCTCAGACCTGCTGTTACTATCAGTTTAATTATCCTAACGGAGCCCATGTGAAAGTGGTTTAGTCAAATCTGCGAAGATGCTCAACATCTGTTATACATGGGTTGGACCACAGGAACTGCAATGGGGTATTGAGCATGCAGCGGATTGCTACACTAGTAAAGCCTTGACAGACTCAGAAATCTCTGTGACCGATTCTCCTATATCTAGCTAGATTTCCAAAAGTAGAATGTGGAAGCTGAGTCATAATCAGCATAGCTGATTAGTTTAATCAAAAGGAGGCTACTGATTTGTCATTGGTTGGGCGCGCATGCGACCACACGTTAGGCGATGACGTGTCCCACAAGCACCTTGAGATCCTTTAAGTCGAATTTCACTTATTATTATTTATTTATATCAAATGGCTATCATTAGCATTTTAGTTGACTTCAAACTTTACAGAGGGGAAGGAACGTCAAATTGAAAAAAGTCGAGGGGGTGGGGGAACAGAAGAGTGTTTCAAAGATGTAAGAGACAAACACAAAGGTAGAAAAAAGGTGAGGTGAGTGCTGTGGAAATAGTCGAATATGGCATAGAGTGAAGTGATGGTAGTTTGAAGTAAGAAGTCAACTGCTAGTTAATAGACTTTTTGCCGTATGAGTATACGTTGCCAAGGGTGCACCACGTGGAGGTAAGTCTATCGCACACCCCCTCTTTATTATTATTAAGGCAGGCAAATAATGAGTTGGCTCATAACTAGAGGTTCATTTGTAAATCAACCTTGGATATTCTGCCAGTCTTAAGAATAAGTTTCTGGCAGACAACCAAATTACACATTATTAATTGAGTTGACCTCCCATCATACCAAACGAAATGTGTGTCTGAACTAAACTCAAAGTCACTGTGTGCTCATAGGAATAGCTGATGCTCAGGAAGGTTAAGGAAATGAGTGGTTGATTGTGGCACTTCTCAATACAGATATAGACTCATCTCAAAACCCTCGGATCGAATCTTGGAATGTAGAGTTGAGAGCATATTGACATTATCAGTCGAAAACTCAATAACTCTTGATATTTTTGAAACCCTGAATGCTTTGCTATTTTCAAGACACTGCATCACTAAAATTTACAGAAAGTTAGCTTGTGCTACCACAATCCGTATTGTTATTTCCATGTACATGTAAAGAAAGAATGAGTTGCTAAATAGACTAACCTCCACATGGTGCACCCTGGGCAACGTATACTCAAATAGTAAAAAAAGTCTACAAACCGGAAGTTGGCTTCAAGCTGCCATGACCAGATTGAATGTCATATTCAACCACTTCCACAGTACTCACCTTACCTTATTCTCTACCTTTGTGTCTGTCTCTTTTGCATCTCTGAATCACGCCTCTGCACCCTCCTCCCTCGACATTTCATGAATTTGATGTTCCTTCCCTCTGTGAACTTCAATGTCAACTTAAGGGCTGATGATAACTGTCATAGAGCCCGCCATTTAATCTGAATAAATAATGATAG